AGGTTAGTTTAAGGTGGCTGTTGCAGCCGCCTGCTATGAGCCCATGAGGGTTTACGATTCCAGGCCTGAGTTTCGGGCTGAAGATTTCGGTTCTGGGGTTGCGCTTTCGTATCTTAACTATTATTGGGTTTGTTCAGCATCTGAACCTTTGAGAAATTGGAAATTTCAATAAAGATTTCACAACAGGGTCCATTGATTATAAGAATCCGTGATGATGTGTTGAGGGAGTGCCAACAGAAGGTAGGACAAAAGGCAATACGTCAAGGCACGGAACAACCACAAAAAGGCAGGAAAAAAGCACAAAAAAGCATAGACTTAGACAAGCCAGAAAGTGGAGCGCCCGCGGCAGACAAATGGAGTGCGGGGCCGTTACGAGGACCGGTCTCACGCAGAGCTGGGCTCGGGGGGGTGATGGAGGTTATACCTCTGTCTCACCCCTCAAGAAAGCAGTAAAATGGATCAACGGAGCCCGAATGCACAGGAGACGACAGGACCCCGAAAGGTGGGGGAAGGGGTCCCGCCCCTTCACAAAGAGAGAGAGAAAGAGCGCGTCATCAGTGCAAATGCCTGAAAGGGCGCGCGTGCGCAGGGGATGTAGCTCAAGACTGCTGTGAAGAAAGAATCCATCCTGCAGTCTATCCACCGTGTCATAAAGCGAATTCGCGAGGGTCCAGCGGTTACTGTAAGGACGGACCACCCAAACGTGGTGAAGCTCCATGAAACTTTCGAGGACCGCTCTCAGATGTACTTGGCAAGGTCCTCAGTATGAGCCCGTTTATAAGCCATCCCTCATTGGCGAGTTCTCAGACTTGGCCCGGCCTATCCCCCATGAGGTCATGGAGCTCTGTGCCGGTGGCGACCTGGACAAGCACATGAAGGGGCAAGGTGGTCCCTACAGTGAGCACCAGGCCTGAGATCTTTTACCAGGTCTTCGTGCCGCCTCTGCAAGCTTAAAGGGCTTGTGTACAGAGAGAAAAACGTACCACTCTGAGCAACAGCTTTTGTCACCTCAGCGCCGGTAGGTTCGTGCCCTTGTCCTGTGCATTGTGTCCCCCACAGGCCGCTATCCTCATGGACCAGGTTCTAAAAGCAGCAGCGCACTCAGCCGCGAGTGGTGAGGCAACAATCGTGGCGTTGATTTGTGCAATGATTTTGAATAAACCTGTGCATTGGAGCAGTTGCTTTTTGTCTTTTGTCGAGGTGTCTTATCTCCACGACTGCAAAAGCATTTGTGCCCAGCTGAGCAATCTGATTAGGCGAGTCTTCCCGAATGGTCATGGTAGAGCATGGGTTTCTCGCAAGGGGTTTCAGAAGGGCTGTCGTCAGACTGACACATCTGGACTTCGTGCCGAGGTCACAGAGATTTGAAGCTGCAAAACTTCCTCTTCTCTCGGAAGGCGCCTTAGACCCTGTCTTAAATCAAGACACAGGTGCCTCTACCGAGCCTATAGCTCCCGAAAGGTTTTCAATTGCTTCTCAAAAGGGTCTTCTATAAATGGCAGCTGAAGAGCGGGGGCTGAGCTGCCTCCTGCTGAGAACTGGAAGCAGTTGATCACTGTAACTTATCCACTCTCAGTGTCGCCTGTCTGACAGCGTGATTGTCACGGCTCCCTTTGTTTAAGTCTTTGGAAGCGCAGCAGGCGCCTGTGGAGAACAACGTGTCGGTGCCCTTGTGCACTGCCTTGCGCGCGGGCATGTTCTCAGGAGTTTCAAGGAGCTATATAGGAGGGTTGAGCTAAGCCATAGTCTACCCCTCGTAGCACTTTTGTCTTGCTTGCAGGCGGCGTAGTGAACTGCCGGCAGTTCTCCTGATGGGTGAGAACGAAAATGAACATCGAGTGCCTATCAGAGCCTCTGCATCCGTGCATGCACCTTGGAACCCCCTGGTTGCTTTGGCCGCGGGTCCCCGACTTGCGTGTCACGCCTCTTACTCCACTGCACAAGCAATGCATCTGGGCTGAAGGCTGAAGCTGGCGGACTTCGGCCTGGCCTGCAGCTTCGAGCCTGGGGGAGTGCCCTCCAGAAAGCCTTGGTTGGACTTCTGGCAGAGCCTTCTCTCTGTCCAGCGACTCCTTACTTCCATTGGTCGCAGGTGCTGGCGACAAAAGCCGGCACGGTTTCGTACTGCTCGCCGCAGGCACCCGGAATCGGCAAGGTGTGTTGCACTCTCTGTGGGCTTACCTCCGGCTGGAGACTCTGTCGGACGCGGATGTATGCCACAAATTCGAAACTGTTGCAAGCTTCAACGAGAGTGGGTGCTGTGGAAGCCTGATTTGTTGACAGATGACACATGCACAGCTTGAAATGAAGCGAGCTGCAGGTCCTGGGAGGTGTCTACGACAACTCTGCAGACTTGTGGAGCTGTGGCGTCATCATGTATGTGTCGAACCAAGCTTGCCACTTCCAGTGTTTCACGTAGAGGTCTTTCGTGAATCTTCAAGGACATGTAGCCGCTGTGAAGATGCATTTGCATGATTTGGGTGTGAGCTGGCTCAGATGCTGCTGGCTGCGCAGCCACCTTTCCCTGGCAAAAACGATGCCGAGGCCAACTGAGTGTTTTGCAGCTGGCACTTGCCAGTTCGGCATGTCATCCCTGGGTTCTGACCGCCTCAGTACTCGGCCGAAAATAGAACTGGCAGCCATGTCTGACAGTGCCTCCGCAGGTGGCTCAGCGTGTGAGGAAGGGGAACTATGTCTTCAACGATGTCGCCTGGTCAACAGTGTGGGGAGCTTGGACTGCGGTTTTGCTTTTTGCTCGCAACCCACGGTCCCAGAGGGCAGCGATAAGCCCGCTTAGCCGTTCTCGCAGATCTCGGAATGACGAAAGCCTCAAGCATTGCTTCCGGCCAAGGTCTGAGGAGGCAAAGAACCTCGTGCGGAAGCTCCTGAAGTATCAGCCCTTCGACAGGGCTACAGCAGTCCAGGCATGGCTCCAGTGCAGAGGGTCTCGTAGTCGGAGTGAAAGCCTTGCCGCTGCAGCATTTTGGAATTGCAGTTGCCATGTCAAGTGTGGCTCCCCTGATGCAATCCGGAACCCGAGCCGGTCAGGCCCGTTCACATGCCTGGTTCCAGTATGCGGCGCCGTTCCTTCGGCATGCAATCCCCGTGCAGCCAAGCGTGGTGTCCGTGCGACTCCCGGCAAACCGCTGAGTTTGAACATGCACCATCGCTCCTCCAGACTCCCGTTCAGCGTGAGATCATGTCTGATTTTGTGTGATGCAGAGGCTTTCTTGTACAAGTGGATTAGGACTTACTTCGCTTTTCCAGAAAGACCACGTTTCAAAGGGTGGCTGCCTCAGCTCAGCAAGAGCTCGGCATACCTGTGTGAAGTGCCCAGAGTGGCCAGTTGCATTCCGCTTGCAAGGAAAGCTGTTCCCGGCCTATTCTCCACTTGGGCTTCTGTGGGCTTGCCGGGATAGAGAGTCATGTCCTAAAAGAATCGTTGCTGCCGCACTCCAACAATGTTCCGACCCGTTGAGTGTGAACGATTTTCCGTGTAGTAAGTTAGGCCTTGGCTCAATAAGAACATGGATGTTGTTTGACTCAGTCAGGCCCATATCCTTACCTTAATTCTACAGATACCTCATCTTATCTAGGGTCCTCGCATGCACCAAGGCTCACGAAGCCTGGCATCCCATATCTACCTTGTTTGTCAGAATGTTTTTGCCAGCAAGGCTGCCCTGCGTGCTCTCGCAATGCAGCTCAGCCAGGCGAGCACTGCCCCTGTGGCTCGATGTGGGTTAAAGATTTAGTGATTCAGGGCCTGCAGCGAAAAGGGTCTTCCTAAAGTCTCAACATTGCGTCAGCTGAAGGATCAGGCAACGTGCTCAACACATGTCGAGACTTTGGGGTCTTCGTGTGTCTGCACCTCACGACAGCATAACAAGCACAAGAACCTGTGAATTGCTTTGCAGTTTTGTTCAAGGCCTCCTGCACCCGCTGATGTCAAGATAGGGTTGAGCCACCACTTGCGGAGCCTTCGGCATGGAGGGTTTGCTTCTGTGGCCGCAGGAATGCACAGTGACCAGCATTTATCAGTCTTTGAGCCTCTGCATGCGGCGCGAATGCGAGCTGCGGCCAGGAAGCTGTTGACCGCTGTTCCCAGGACTTTGCGGCCATAGTCTCGGTTTGACTTGACATTGTGTCTTGTCTTCTGGACCTGAGGTCGAGGCTGGAGGCCTTTTGGGGTTCCGCCATGGGCTCCGAGGCCTTGGACTACAAGGGCATGAGCTTCTTGTCGCTGCAAGATCTCGAGGACCACCTGCAGCACATTGCAGTACCCGACCTCTCCCGGCCCGGCGCAAGTCGAAGGAGCTTCTGGAGATGCCAGACCTCGAGCCGGTCCACCACGAGCTTCGGCAGGTGCCGCCGTCGTTTGAACTTACGGGATCAGCTGAAGGAGATGGGGCAGCTCTGGAATGCAGCCATCGAGCTCGAGCCCTCCACATGAGATCATGAGATTTGTTGACAAGTGTCTACCTAACAAACCTGCATACAGTCTCCTCTTCACGAGGCTGCTTTGGTTTGTTTAGGCTACTGGTCGGTCAGTTCCCTGCAGCTTGCCATGGCAACGCAGTTGCAGGCTTAGTTCTGTCAATGCGAAGGGCGGAAAAGCGGGCACGAAGCTGCCAGACAGTTGTCCGAATCTGTAGCATCATCCAACCTGCTAACCAGGCTGCAAATTGCGACGATGTGTAAACAGAGCTGCAAAGCTTCAGGACATGTTCGTTTCAAGCCGCAGCTGGCAGCAACATGAAATTGACAGCTCTGACTGCTTCTCATCGAAGTGTTTTTGGGCTACACTGCCTCACGCCTTGCAGCCTGTAGTTTCCGCTCCCTCTGATCTTCTTGGGTGGTTTGAGATTTGAAGCAATGCCTCGTACTGATTCTTATTGCAGTGCTCTGTCGTCACTCCTCTGAGTCCTCTTGGAATTGTTGGGAACGGCACCCCCGGCGCCGAGGCCTTTGCCAGATCTCCCCTTCGCTGGACCTCCGGCCTCGGGAAGCTCCTCGGAGCATTTCAGCTCTGAGCTCTCTGCATTTCGAGTTAAAAAAAGACACGGAATGAGTCGTGCTTTCTCTGTTTTTTCAGTTGTGGGCCTGAGAAGCCTTTCTGCTTGGACGGGACAGCTGAGTCAGCAAGATCCCACGCGTCGTGCCGATAATTGTTTGCTGAAGTTTGGGGATTGCTACTTCTCGAAGTGCACTCCGGCAGGGGCCAATGCTGTTTGAAGATGTCTTAAGTGGACCACGGCCGTGTCTGAGTCAGGTTTGCCGGCTGGACTTGGACTGACTCTGCTGAACTATGCCGAGGCCATGCGCCGCCGCGGCATGGTGTGGGACCGCGACAGATGCATGGCCCAGAGGCATCGAGACCGCCAGATTGGTTGACAGTTTTGGATCATTTTCAAATTGAAATTATCACCACACAGAGGCACCGCAAGCCCTCGCAGCTCACTCCAGGCCCAAATTGCAGAGGAGCTGCCTCAAGGCGATGTGCCTGCTGGACTCGCTTGTTCAATGCCTTTTGTGACCGGCAGATGACACATTCCAGAAGCAAGCGTTGTGCTGCACAAAAGGGGGTGGAAGCTCGTAAGCTTCTTACGACACGGTAGCATTCCTCGGCTTGGATGCCGCGAGGTGTTGTGGCGAGCCGCAACCCGACAAGATGGATGATTGCAATTGTGCTCATCGTCCTGGTTTGCCCGGCCCAGGCCTTAGCAACTTCAGTGTCGTCCTTTGGGTCGAATGCGCTCGCTTTTGCTGCCAGCTCTGGCAGCTGTCAAGAAATGGGTCAACCGCAAGGATGAAAGGTGAAGTTCTCAGACCGCAGGCCACAGGCTCGAAGAGGTCCCGCAGGCTTCGCAGGCCCCGAGACTTTCGCAAGCAGATTCACGGTACTCCTGGCGCTGTATGTGTGGGCCATTGTGGGCCTCTCTATGCCCTATGCCCAGCGACTGGGTTTCTGCAAGTGGATCCAGGGGTCTGGTTTGGCTGCGTATGGCCGGAATTCATATTGTCGCATGTCCGCACAGAAATTTACAGAGATGTGTGCATGTGTGCCCAAGGGCATCGCTCTGGTAGTTGGACCAACAAAACGAGAATCATGCTGCTGAATCATGCTCTCCAAATTCAACGCGACTCCTCAGAAGTAGAATTTCATCCTAGTCAACCTCGCTTGCTTGTGCGCATTGATCCCGGCCAGGCGAGAGGGAACAAATATTTAGGATGCATCAAGCCATCTCAAATCACACACTCTCACTGTCAGACTTTCTCTTCTGATACAGGGTCTCAAAGGCAACTCTCCTCCTAGCGGTGGGTGGATCAGCACGGCCTTCCCAAGCTTCGACTGGCGCAGCGAGCCCTGAAATCCCTCCACTGGCTGGGTGCATGCGCAGCTGCAAGACCTACAGCAGGATCGCACGATTGCCAAGCGAAATCAGTGTTTAAACTTTTGTATGATGAAAATGCTTACAGGACTTCTTGGAGCTTTGACCCGTTGTTAGCTGCATGCACTACCAGTGCATGTTCTGTATGTCTCAACTGTTGAAAGCATGCAGTTCTTACTGTTTTGTGTGGTGGTTCAGTTCAGTTCATCACGCTTGGGTGCCGAAGCTTTGTTGGAAACTGGTACAGACAGTGGCAACATTCGATCACTTCGGCGCATGCTCCCTCGGATCCGCAGAGAGACAACAGCTTTCCCCGGCCCAGTTCCTGGCCATGCAGAAGAGAATTCTCCCCAAGCCCATTGCGAAGGCACTGGGACAGCTGTCCTGCACACGCTCGTTTCGAGACACCAGTGCAGGTAAAGCATGTGCCAATAAACCTCCGTGGATAAAAATCCCTGTTCGACCATATGACTATGTGGAGTTGGAATCACGAAGATCAGTTGTCCCGGTGCACAGCAGGTCTTGGGACGACTGTACTTCTGGCCTACTATTGGCCTTACTCTCTTGCGGAGCTGGCGGGATGGCCGCGGTCTCTGGTGCCAGGCCGTACGAGAGTGTTTCTGGGGCTTCGCACACTGATTGACCAACTTCCAGGCGTTCTAACGTTGGCCCAGAAGCCTCCTAGCTCGCGCCGCGAGTGATTGCATAGGCGTCATTGAAGCGTGTGAAGCGAGGGACGACGATTGAATCCCAGATGCCAGTGTCTAGTGTTGAAGTTAATGCTAATTAAGGCATCAATGGGCCTGCAGTAGGCGCCAGTTCAGAATGCACACCTAATGCATACCTCGCGAGCAGACCAGTAAAGTCCTTGCCAGGTTGATGACACCGTGCTGCTAGGCCAGTCTTGATATCCTGCGAGAACCATCGGGGGCATTGGAGCTTATGACGAAGGGTGCAGGGGAGAGGTTAACTGCAAAGTACATGAATTCCGCCCCGCTGCTTGTCGGCACAGTTGTCTTAGTTTCGGATCCCAGGGCGCAGATCAGTCAAGACACAACAGTCGTATACAGCGCCTGCAGGGCTACCGGCGGCTTCATGCCTGAGCCGCGCATAAGCTAGCCGGTACTGAGACACTGGTCGGTGATTAAAATATCAAGCCGGACGAAAGCATGCATCCGGAATCCCTGCCACACCAAGGCTTTCCGGAATTTGCCGGGCACCTTCCAAGCCAACACCCTAATCTACCCCCACAGGTAAGAGGTAGGCAGAAAGCTGTAGGCTTCTCTGATGGGCCTCGGTGCTTGCGATGGCCGGCTCTAGCGCGTTTCCAGCGTGGGCGCCGATCGTCATGGGTTGGACGCTTCCGGAAAAATTTCGTGCTACGCCTTAGCTCGTGAAGGCCATGTTGCTGCTTGGGGCCTTAGGCACCATGTTTGGCCTGCTGCTGTCCCGAAGTCGGGAAGTCGCTGACCTCGCCAGCAGCATATTCGGGTCCTTCGTCGCCGTCACCGGAGATGCCCATCAAGCTAAAGTTGCACAGGACATATTCCGCCAGCAGGTTCGATATGAGAGGTCCATACAGATTCGCGAGGACATGCGCGATGTCAACAAACTGATGATGGAGAGTGTCCAAACCCACGTCATCATGGGCAGTATCATACTTGGCGTTTGTTGGAACATGTGCATTGAAGGCTTCCCACCGGAAGAAACAGAGCGTGCCGTGGTGGGTCTTTGGATGGTGTTCACCTGCTGGTCTGTCACTTATACCCTCATTGCTCTTTGGCTGGCGCTGCGGTTTCAGATGAAGATGTCCTCCAGTGCCCGTGACCGTTTGCTCCGGCGTCACCGCCTCATGGTGCCTGATGATCTCGTTGTTGGTCGGATGGGCGGGCACAACGTAGTCAATCAGGTTGCAAACTTTCACAGCTGGATGCTCACTGCCATCAACAACCTCACGTCAACAGATGCCGCTATTGAGGATGACAGTGCCATCCGTGTTCGGGGTCGACGGCATCTCGGCTTGCGTGTGCAAGTGGAGCCAAAGGAAGGGTTTGTCGATGTGGAACCGCTTCGCAAGGGCATGCATGCCTGGCTGCACCCGGAAGGGGACGGCTGGTCGCACCACACTCTGCTGGACATTCCCTTCTTTTTGACAGGGGAGACCCTTATCCGGAGCCCTTGGCAGTTCAATGGTGAGCGGCCGTTGGCTTTTAGAGTGTACGGGGAGGCCACTCTGTATGTGGCTGCTCAGTGCCCGCCACTGCGCACGCAGAACAAGCAGAGGAATGAGCCCTCAACCTCTTCAACCAACAACCATGGATTGAAGAAGGCCTTGTGGTTAGCAGGTCAAGTGCCTGACTGGCCTGCAGACGAGCTTCCCCTGGCCACGCAGGGTTTTCACGAGGACTGGACTGGGGAGAGCGGCTGCGGTGAGTTCCGGCGAGTGGAAGGCTTTTCGATGTATGTGGACCGCAACGATATCGAGATGCCTGTGTACAAGCAACCCGTCTCTGCACTAGTCGGAGTTAGACCCTCCGGGAGGGCTTTTTGAAAGCAGAAACCCTCACAGCCCGGCCCTGGCCAAGGCTGGTTCTGGCGAACCCTAGGCATGGAAACTATGTCGACGTGGTGGTGAACTGGAACTTTAAAGCTGGCTGCGAGGCTCTGGTCGTGGTCGTGAGGACTCCTGGACGAACTCATACGAACACAGTACCGAGTGGGCAAACCGGAAAGACCGGTACCGTCAGGGTACTGTAGTGATTCGTATCTTGCATCAATGCTTCTTGCAGTCTCTGCGGGATGCTGCCAGCCACGGCTACGTAACTTCTGTGTGTGTTCAAGCGTCCGTTGTGACATCCCACAATGTGCTCAGCAGAATCGCAGGAGTTGCAACCGTTGTACCCAACATCCACCATTTCGAGAACCATCAGACACTGAACCTTCCCCTGATCCCAGCCGAGGAAAGGCCAAGTC